TATTTTTTTAATGATAATTTTTCTTTGTTTATGTTTTATTTTTGTCAAACATCGCTTTGGCCCCACTAATTTTAGTCTGACATACATATGAACATTTTTTTTTATTTTTTCTACTTCTGTTTTCTTAAAGTAACTGTAACACTCAAAACAATGCAGACATGCATTGACATAAACGCGCACACACGCTTTTGCCTCACAAATTGAGCGTTTTAGTTTGGTAATTATTTAATAAAAGTATTCCATTAACGTCAGCGCTGCGGCCACATGCTGAATTTGTTGGTACCCAAGTGCTAATTAATTTTTTTTTAACTTTTATACACACACTCACACACACACACACAAACTAACACTACTCACAAACACAAAGTTGGTGGGCGAACACACTTGTATATATTGAGACAAAGAAAAAGCATAAAAAGTAAGAATTAAAATAAAAAATTAAAGCAGCTTTCCATTAAAGTAAAGTAAATTAACGCATACATACATACATATTTATATATATACAATTTACTGCATGTATACAATATACACCCAACGAAAACAAATAAAATTGCATAATGAATAATATTTAAAATATATATACATACATACATACATATACATATAAATGAGCTAGTTTTAGTTGACATTAGTAGCGAATACTTTTAAGCGTATATGAGTAAATATGAAATACAAAAACAAAAATTATTAATTTTAATAATTAATGAGAAATGTGAAAGGAGAAAAATGTAGAAACGAAATTTAATTTAAACAAAAAGAACTAAAAGTATTTTCCAAATAGACAACTGCGCTGCATGAAGCAAATAAATAAACAACAACAAACAATGAAAAATAATTTAAAGTAAACGAAAAATTATTGAAAATAATATAAAATTTATGCAAACACAATACACGACACTTGAGTATTTTTTAAAATTAATATTAAATTTAATTAGTTTAAAACGCCACTTTTATTAAAAAAGTAAAATAAAAATAAAAATAAAAAACAAAACTCGTAACACGTAAGCCATGCAAAAACAGTAGTAAAAAATTAAAGCAAAACAAAAACACAAAATAAAAAATCGTAAAACGTCAAAAGAAAACAAACAAAAAGAAGAAGCAGCATAAAGAACGTACAAAAGCTAAGGCAAACTTTTTACGCTACAAAACCAACCCCAAACCGCCACACATGCATACACACACATAAATACACACATAGACACCACTACCGCACACACTAAACTCACACATACACATGTACCACCAGCAGCATTACCGACAACTCAATTCGCTTGCGAAAATACCGTTAAACCGTTAGCACACACACACTTAGCAAGCTTAAAAAGTTGACTAATAACACACACACACACACACACACACACACAACAACAATAACAAATAAAAACTACAGTATTTTAATGAATTTTTTACTTTTATTTTACTTCTCTGCTTTTTATTTAAAGAAAAGGAAGAAAAAATACAACAGCAACTAACATAACAAATGATAATAATTTAAGTGAAATTAAATAAAGAAAACTCTAAAGTAAAATAAGTGAAAATCCGCAACGCGTTCAATACTACTGATTAATACTTGTGGCGCCGCGACCTTGCTTCGCAGGGAGAGTAAGAGCGAAAAGAGCAACAATGAGAAAATTGTAAGAAAATTTATGTGAATTTTCATTTTCTTAGCATTAATATTTTCAATGTTTATCATATACATACATATATATATATATATAAATATTATATATACTTAGAGCGCGTGTATGTGTGACAAACTTACACACACACACACATACTCTCACACACACAAACATGAAAATTTAAATATTTAAATTTTGTATGTATGTTATTATAATACTAATTTTGTACTTAGTTTTGTAATTTTTTTGTCACTAAGTATTAGTTAAGTTGCAATCCTAATTTGTGTAAGTTCAGAAGTAAACAATTAAGCTATAATAAAAGTAAATTAATTGAAATATACATAATTAATGGCAGTTTATTGTTTATTTTTGACTTTTGTTGGCAATTTCAACCAAATTTGTTGTGTGAGTTTACCCAAACATTATGAACAGGGGCGAAATCGACTGACAAACTCACCTAACTTTAATGAAATATATATATATATATATAGAATGGGTCTAATTATTGAATCCGCATCGAAATCGAATTCTTTGCGGAAAGAATTTTYGAACGAAAATGTTCATGCGATCATTGATACCGTCGATAATCTGCTTTACTATATCTTAAGTAAACTGTGTTATCAACAAATTTGACAAGTTTGAAAAATGAAATAAATTGTCTTATAGCCCTGACAGTGGACAGCGCTAATGATAACTCTCCTCTCCCCAGTAGTGAAGACACTTGAGGCCTTTCATTCACCACCTGAGCCTAGCCGGTCACCAGCATGGATTCCGTAAAGTGCACAGTACCATCACAGCACTTAGCGTCATAAACGCTCAGATAGTCCGTGGCCTCAACCAGAAACCACCATGTGAGAGAACGACCCTCGTAGCGTTGGACTTGTCGAAAGCCTTCGACACAGTCAACCACGCCACGTTACTGCAGGACATTGAAAAAATTTCGCTCCCTCCAAGGCTTAAGAGGTGGACCATGATCTATATGAACGGTCGTCAGTCAGGGAGTTCCGCAGGGTGGTGTCCTCTCCCCGCTACTGTTTAATCTCTACATCTCGAAACTCCCATAACACCAGAGGGTTTTTCCATAACCTCGTAAGCAGATGACTGAACGATATTGACGTCGGGCAATGGAATCGATGGCATGTGTTCGAAGGTAAACAACTACCTCCGACCTTTCTCGTTTCCTCACTATACGAAACCTGACACATTCCACCACCAAATCCACAGCGACCACATTTACGAACTGGACGAAGGAGCATAGACTTAAGCGTAATATTGCAGTCGATGGCGTCAAAATGCCGACTGTCAATAATCCTAAGATTTTAGGCGTAACTTTCGATAGTCTATGCTCCTTCTCTCCC